ACTGCTGCTTGCACTCGTCCGGGTTGACGTTCCCCGCGCTACCGGCGGCAGCGGCGCCACGGCCCTTGGGCGGGCCCCGGCGGCGTGCGGGGACGTCGTTGTCGCTGTCCGAATCCTAAATCAATGGGTGCGTCAGCGTCGGCGGGACAAAAGGGTGCAGCGCCGAAGCGGCCCCCAGATGAGACAATCTACACACCTCATCAAACTCGCCCTCCTCATCGTCGTCCTCATCCAGCTCGTCAAACTCGTCGTCGTCGTCCTCGTCGCTGTCGTCGAGCATCTCGTATTCGAGGGCCTTGCCCGTGAAGTAGTCCACCGCGCGCGGGATGATCTGCGGAGGGATGAGGTTAGTGGTGCTTAGGAGCAAGGCAATTTGTAGACGCAAGGCCGGAGACACAGAGAAGGAAAGCAGAGGCAGGGAAGGAGAGGGAAGGAGGGGGGGGGAGGGATGAGAGAGGAAATATAATGGAAGCGGGGGACAGGGAGAAGCGGATACGCGGAAGAGCAAGGAGACGCAAAACTCACCTTCTCCTTCAGATCCTCGCCGACCTGGTAGTCCACCTCGAGCCGCTCCTCGATCTCCTCAAGGTCGTCGTGGTCGATGTCGCCGTTCTCGATCTGGGGAAAGTCAAGAGTCAGTATCCGATGGGGAGATGCGGACGGGGATTCGAGACGGGTTGGGATAGAGGGTTCTAGGGGAAAGTGGGAGTGTGGGAGAGAAATAAGAGCAGGAGCGGAGGCCGAAAGAGTGCCAATCCACGTAGGCCCGCGCGCTCAAGTCGGTCCCTCTCAAGGAAGAATCCGCTCCACACCTCCCGGCCACACGCTGGTCCCAACCTCCGCAACGCTAGCTAGGCCAGCGCGGGCCCGTCACCACGACAGCCCTTCCCCCCACTCCACGTCCCTCCGAAAAGAAACTCTCCCCCGAAGGAAGAAGAACAAGCAGGAAATCGCCCACTCACCTCCTCGTCTCCGGGCATAACCGGCGGCGCGAAGAAGTTGAAGAACGACGCGGTGGGGTGCGACTTGCGGATGAGGCGCGTGCGGTTGGTGTCTGGGAAAGTAGGTTAATATCGTGATCGGGGCTTGGATTGGATAGAAATCGGGATGGATCGAGGCAAGGGAAGGAAGAGGTCAAGGGAGGGGAGTGCCGGTAGTACGTGCAAAGCGAGTACGAGGAGAGGATAAGTACGAGGAGAGGGGAGAAATGAAGAGCAGGGGAGATGAGGGGGAGAGAAGGAACGTAACGGATGAAAGGGAGGTATCATCGCTGAAAACATGGACGCAAAAAGACGCACTCTTGTTCCTCTGCTTCTTAATTTCCCACTCGCGCGTCAGGTCCTTCTCCTCCGCCCACGCGATCTCGCTCCCGACCGCGCGGTCGTACACGAAGTCGCCGCCGTAGCCGACCTGTGTACATGTCAGTTATGCGGTGATGAGGGAATGAGGGTAAAGGGAGAAGGAAAAGGGACGGGGGAGGGGACGGGAAGGGCGATGTGAGGGAAGTAAGGCTGGGGGGCGATAGAGTGATGTGGCGAGGGAGGAGAGGAAGGTGTCAGAGGGGAAGAAGGAGGCGGGAAGAGGGGGGAGGGGTACGGAAGGGAGGCGGTGGAAGGGTGAGATGGCAGGGAGGAGACGCCATCGACATGAAAGTACAATGACAAAGTAGGAGGAGCGAAGATGAGGTGGTGAGAGGTAGGGAGTAAGAGGGACGGGACGGGAAGGGAAATGGTAAGACAGAAGATGCGGGCGAAGATGCGGGCGAAGTGGAAGTGGAAGGCGTGCAATAACGAATCTTAGCCAAAGAAACGCACCTCCTCCTGGTAGATATAGGTCTTGCTGAGCGTCTTATTCGTGAAGAACGGGTTCTTCTCCGCGTCCCAGTGGAAGGTGATCGTGAAGCCGGGCTTGCCCGCGAATTCGCCTGTGCACGCAAGCCTCGTCAGCTTCAGGTTCGGATGGACGGGAAAGCAAAGAGAAAGTCGGAAGCAAAGCTGCTGGAGGGCTCAGTCGAGCTCCGCACTCTCGATGGGGCTCGATCCTCGCGCTTCGCTCTTGGGCCTCCATCCCATGCAAGACATTCGACTCCCGGAAAAGAAAATTCGCCACTCACCCTCCCCGCCCGCCTTGGGCAGATACTCCAACGTCACATCCTGCAGGAACGCAAGCGCCTCCGCGTCGCGATCCGTGATCAGCTCCGCGAGCCCGGGGTGGTTGCGCAGCGCCGTGAGCCAGAAGTCGGGGATGCCCTTTTCGGGCTCTTTGCCTAGGAAGGGGGATTAGATTAGATTAGATTTCGGTTTCCGTTTTGGGATATTGTGGAGAAAGAAGGGGAGAAGGGGAGGACGAGAAGAAGGGGGAGGGGGCGGGGAGCGGGGCGGGGCAGCGGAGAGCGGGGAGTGGGGAGGGAGCAATAGGTTTGTAGAGAGGAGGGATCGGCGGAGAGCACAAAAAATAGAGACGAAGATGAAAGGGTGGTCGAGTAGGGGAGGTGACAAAACACTCACCCAGTTCCTCCTTTGGCAACGGCGTGTAGTCCTCGTCGTCCTTGAGGCTCTGCGCCTCACCCGCGGCGATCTCCTCAGGCGTCGCCACGGCTTCGCCGGCGATGATCGCGTGCCGGCGCGCGTAGAGCGGTTTTTGGAGGTCGAGGTACTGCGTCACAAAAGCATCAGAGTCATGGATCAAGACCACAAAAAGATGAAAGAGAGGAAGAGTATAGGAGAGGCGGGGACGACGATAGAGGCGACAGACGCGAGTCGGACGAGATATGAATCCCGGCAGCCACAAACGAGCAGTGGGCGCGTGCGTTGAATGAAACGAAAGTAGCCGCAAAGCAAGGAAAGGAAGCCAACAAAAAAAAAAAAACCGAAAGGCATGGATAGGGCATGGATAGATACAAACTCTCGTCGCGATCGAAGCGAATGGACGATCGCCCCGCCCATAAATCGTTATAAAAAATCGCCGAGTTGCCGGCCACGAAAAAAAAAATCCAAATGAAAGAGTCCACCCTGGCCCATCGATATCGACCCTGACTCGAAGTCGGCGGCGCTAGAAGCGAGCGAAGCGAGGCGATACGCGCCTCGTGCCCCGCTCCCCACGAGGCGCAAAGAAGGTCGTGGAACATCGCAGACTGATCCGCGAGAATCCGTAGACTGCGGAACGTCGCCGACGGGCCGTGCCATATCTCGAGCAGAATGGGCAGAATGACCCATCCACAGGGTAAAGAAGCCCTGAAAATCGGCAAGTGGATAGAACGACGGACCCACGACAACGGCTGACAAGCCACAGAGGTCGTGCCATTTCCCCACCAAAAATCGGCAAAATCGGCGTACGCCAAGATCCGCCGGCCGCGTGAGTCGGCCACAAGAACAAAGACGGTCCCAATCCCCCAAAGAATGAGGGAATGGGCGAAAACCGCCGCGCGCGCAGATCAATGCCCGGTTGCCACCAAGCACCCACACCCTCAAATCGCTCTCATCGCGCACCCCAAACCCCGTAAAAACCCAATAAAAAAGAAAAGAAAAGCAGGAAAAAACGACGCACCTTCCGCTCCAACTCCAAACACTCCCTTTTATACTGATTCTGCAGGTCGGTCTGCTTGACCTGAATGCCCTTCAAGCCCTCCACGTTCAGCTTCGTCGCGGTCGGAAGCGCCTCAATGTACCCGCTCGACCGCCCGACAAGCCCTGCGAGCTTGCCGTGCACCATTCCGAGCATCGCGCTCTGCAGCCCGCCCGCGCCGAGCGTCGTGAGCTCCTCCGCCTCCTCGGAGATGTCGGGGACGGTGGGCCGCGAGAGGCCCGACGAGATGGGCGCGTGCTGGGCGGGCGTGTTGACAGGCGTCGGCGCCGTCATGTTGTGAGATGAGATGGGCACAGACTGCGAGGACGACATTGTGGTCAAGGTCAAGGTAAGCAAATTTTGGGGCAGCGGAGTTTGAATGGAGATCACATCACCTGATTGTAAGAAATAAATTCGGAAATTACTTGAGAAATTCAGGTGTCGGGTTGGGCTGGATGGTACACGCCATGGAGTAAAACCTAAGAAAACAGGGAAGGGGGGAAAAAAATCGGGGCACGATGGAACATGACTTGGGCCTGATTCGAACAGAGTTTCAGACAAGAGAAAGGCGCAGTGTGTAAGTGTAGGCCATCTGCTACCGAGTCTGTATTCACCCTCATTTGAACCTGAATGAGTGGCAAAACATTCCTTGGCCAAAATCAAGCAGCCGTCCGGGTTTCCAGTACATGCATCATTACGGTATATGTCCTGTGCTAGTTGGAATTCAACTCGAATCAAGTTCAAGTACTGTCAATCCCGGGCCCTTGTTAATGCGACTCAACCCCGGCTGCGGTCAAAAATGACGCTAGGCCAACACAGAGGAACGAAGAAAAAAATCTCAAAAATACTTCGCATTTGATCCACGACTCGGGCCTGATTCGAACAGGCACCCTCCACGGCCATAGGATTTCCATTAAGCTCACCGACGTATGTGGACGCGGGCCACCCGCTACCGAGTCGGTACTCAGTGTCACCCTACTTGGAACCTGGATAGAGAGGGTTTATCTGAACTCGTTTCCAGTAAGTTCCAGGATTTGCATATATCGCCGATGGGGTCTAAGGTTGGATCTCAAACTGACAGGTCAAAAACACAGAGATGGTTGAAAAAAGTCTTCATCCAATGTATGACTTGCGCCCGGATCGAATAGGCCCCATTTCACAACATATTCCTTGAAGTTATTGCAGATTGCGAATATAGACAATCCACCACCAAGTCGGTATTCCTATGGATTTGAAACCGGATACTTAAACCGAGTCCATGATACATCTGGGACTCTCACACTGAACAAGAACAAGGGACAATGAGTACAGATGATGATTTACTGGTGAGCTCGTTCCCAGCACTTGGATTTCGAAATGATTCCTACTAAGAGGTTATTAGGGTGAAAAATGCAAACAGCTAAATGGTTGAAAAATGGATTCTCCTGACAGACGAATGACTCGGGCCTGATTCGAACAGGCACCTTCCCCACATAATCAACGAGATTCGATTTATCGCATCTATTGGGTACACGGACCATCCGCCACCGAGTCTGTACTCACTGTTTTTGGAACTTGGTTAGACTGGGTCCATCTGAGCTCGTTTCCTAAACACAGCAGGTTTCAAGCTTAAGATTTGCGTGTATCACTGATGGTCACAGATTAATGGTGATGGTTGAAAAAGAGACTTCAAAATGACAATACTATGACTTGAGCCCGGATCGAACAGGCACCTTTCACAACATATTCCTTCAAGTTATTACAGGTTGTGAATGCAGGCAATCCGCCACCAAGTCGGTGTTTTTACGAATTTGAACTTGAATCAACTGCAGAAGGGCAAGAAATCGAGGGTTATGAGGCAAAAGGTAAAGTGTAAATCACTCACGTCACTGGTAGGAAAGGAAATACGTCGACAAAGCTGGGAGGTCACTGGTGCCAGCGTCCGTATACCCTTGGCGCTGTGCACCGTTGAATTTGAAAGCGACAACGTTGCAACACCATGCCTTTGGCGCTGCTCCCGAAGTGATGTGGTAAATCGCGCGGTTGACAGGCGACGATCTATTGAGCGCCGAGGACGAGTAGAAGATGTGGAGAGGGAAGCGCAGGGGCTCGCCGTTCAGGCCTTGGGTGAGGACGACGTTGTCGGGTGGCGCGTCGAAATACGGCTGGAGAGCTGGGACCGGGCAGCGGCCGTGCGAGGGGCGCTGCGGTGGGCGGCATCTGACGCTGATGACTCTGGGCCGTTCTAGGACAGAATAAGCGTGAGGCGAGTTTGGGCGCGTCAAGCACGCACCTTCATCGGCCAAAAATAATATGGCGTTGACGGAAATGTATTCGGGTTCGGCTGGGGACCGTGTCGCGATCATGTTCGAGCCATAGAGACTCGAGGGAGCATGACAATGTGAGCGGTGGCGAGGCCAGTCCTAAATAACCACAGAGTAAGATTTAATGCCACACATGTCACGGGTGTAAACGCACGCTACGCATATGTTCAGGCGAACAATACCATGCGTTTTGACAACGGCTACACCAGAGCGAAGTTGCGCGTTCACAGACGGCGCAGCGTTGGTTGACGGAGGAATGGGGCATGATTGAGATGGGGTGTGGAGAGCTGGTGGATACAGAGATAAGACGAAATTCAGTAAAATACAAATGAGGACAAGAGGAAGTGGGACCTACCTTTTATATGTGGCGGGTGTGCAGATGTCGATCTCGGAGGACGAACCACCATGGCCCTGCAAACAGAAAGCGCAGTTGGGCAACAGTCGATCAGGATGAAACTATGAGCCGAGGGTGGGTCAAGCCGTCCAGGCACAACATAGAGAAAGAAAAAATGAAATGGGGAGACCGTGGCAAAGGGAATCGGTGAGGTTGCATGCAATCGGGATCAAAAAAGTTTTGGCGCGCCTTGTGGCGCGTAACTCCGAGTCCGCCAAGTCACCCGCCGTCAGGCAAATTACCAAATCGAAACAAAAGGACTGAGCTGGTTTGGCTCGCTTGATTTGATTCTGGGGTACGTGGGAGACACGGAAGAACAAAAGGACGGGGCGGGGGGGTCCTGACAATATTCGGCGGGGAGGCAGCCGTCAATACCACCCGTTATGATTCCTGCACGGCCAGATTGACAAACAGAGAAGAGATGATCATATCGATAACGCTGACAGCAACGTCTAGTTTTTGGCTTGTTCAGTATAGTACAGAAAACAGACAAACAGGGATCAAACCTTACGAAACTTCGACAAAAGATCAGATGATATTACCCAGTACGATGTCGAATTGGCTCTGGAAACCCACTTGAACAGAGCTGCGGGGAGACAGGATATTCGACTGGAGGTTTAAGATTCCAGTGCGCGGTCTGAATACTGAACCTTCTGTTGAAGGATCATGGATCGAAGTCGAAGTTTGTACGTGAGCCTGTGAATGTGACAGCGTGACAGTTTACATAGAATTGATGGCCAGAGCATCACTCCACGCCAGTGGCCGAGGACAGGATTATCTCGAGCTGAAACCGGGCACACAGCTCGCGGTCAACTCGGCCTGGGTCAAGCTATTTACAGCCCAAAATTTGGTCGGCGAAGAACAGTAAACAAAGGCTGAGGTAGAAATCGCATTGCAAGCAATGAGCATTGAGCATGTGCAGGAAGTCACTCACTATAACTTCAATGTGGCAAGTTTCCGTCAGCGGAAGGTGGTGTTACGATTTCGCCGGTCCAGAGGATATTTTAGAATTCAAATCCCGCCCGGCGGGTGAGCGTAATATGATGTATGTGGACAATGGTCCACATAGAAGGGAAAGCTTACTTCCGGTCCGACTGCCGGAACCGGTCTGCTTAGAAGCGCTGTATGGTGCTTACAAAAGCGATGCACCTGTGCAATTTGTAAGCATCTGCATTTCGACGCCATACTGTACTATTTCGACCAAGTGTTCAGTCACAGGTCACAGCACCCACCGAACTGAACACTTGGTAAAAATAGTCACAGGTCACCGACGCGACTGAACAGTGGGCCATTTAAATATTTTTGTAGCTAAAAAATCGAAAATTTCTCCCCGGAATCTCAATTTTATGACTTCAAACAGCACTTTCACAAATTTTCAAGCAGACAGATCCACAGTACATTGAACAGTGAGTTGAACTCTATCATCTACTGCACCCACATGTGTTCGACGCCGTGAGGAACAGGAACCTTCGTATCCTGCCTTGGATGACAAACAGCTAAGGGGAGATCATCGGCAACAACATCAAATTCTGTGTCTTTTACTGTTCCATTGCGTGCCAGATATCCTTCATCATTGACTGCAAAACCGTCAGGTACTGCGGCGGTACCACCCGACTGAACATGATTAATCAAAACCTCGAGAGGGATGTCACTCTTGTCATTGTACAGGAGATTTTCGTCCTCTGTAAATGGTTCCCCTTTGATGTTGTTGTCTGGCATTATTCTCTGGCTAGTCAGCTCACCTTCAGAATAAGCTCCTTGCGATTGCATGCATGGAATGTGTCAACTATCCATCCTGCGCACCTGTTTCGAAGGGTTCCAAGGCAATCTCAAATGAACACTTGAAAATAGGTGTCACAGGTCCCCGAGCCCGATGAACTGATGGCAAATGAACAGAGGTGGTCACAGGTCACAAGGCGTGAACACTTGGTCAAAATAGTACAGTATACCGATGAATGGGGAAGCAAGCTTCCCCATAACCTGTCGAAGGCGTTAATGGGCGAAATATTCGTGCAGGTGTATACGTATACGTAGACGGGGTCTGGGCCTTAAGATCCCCATAAGCCATACAATAGGGACGTTGCGCAAAAGTCGCATGCGGCTTTCAGAGCCGCACGCGGGAATATCCTTTTTTTTGCTCTGGAGCATCACTGGGACTCTCAAATAGCCTCTTTTGACCACCAGAGCAAAGAAAGAAAAAAGCCGCATGTGATGAGTTTGCGCACCAAAAAAGCCGCATGCAGCTTTGCGCAACGTCTCTAATTTCAAACGGGGCACGGCTTCCAGCCGATTGATCTGCAGGGTTTTTTACTACCGCGGAACTTGATTCGACGGAGGCAGACAGGCCTTGAAGATTTGGTACCGCGTCGGCAACGGGTCGGTAAAAGAAATCGTGGAGGCGGAAAGAGACCAGATCAGATTCAACGAAAAGATCGTCCGCAACTTGTTGATCCGCCGGTTTCACCATGCTGCTTCCTCGTGAATACAGAAGAGCTGAGAAGATCCTCGGGTCCGTGACGTCGAATTCCCAATCCAGTTGGAGTACATTGAAATAAGAAAACGCTATCAGACGCTATCCCCAACGATGGCGCGCAAATTTGATGGCCCCCACGTCTCGCTTAGCACTTCGCGCACGTCAATGTCGAGACATTTGCCGGGGTCGTTACATAACGCTATCAGACGCTATCCAGCGCTATCCCCAACGATGGCGCGCAAATTTGATGGCCCACGTCTCGCTTAGCACAGCAGTGTTCATCCTCTCGTCACGGTCCTGCCGTCAATGTTGAGGCATTTGCCGGGGTCGTTGGCGCCTTGGTAATTGTCTCTGCTGTGATGTTCAAGTCCGGAAAGAACGTGGGGGTCCCGTACGGGAACCTAATCTTTGAATAATCTCTCGTTAATTCAGACAAGACTGAGACTCAAGTACCACGAGTCAACCAAGAGTCCCTGCTTCCCAACTGTTTCCCATTTCACTCTGTAGACATGGTCCTATGACATTTTTCTCTCCCGATGTAAATTTATATGTAAGGCAAATTATGCACAATTAAATTTATTTTGAGAGCCTAGAGCATTTGATGTGGTAATCAGCGATGACCCCGACGATCCCGACGTTAGCGGGCGCAACGGTGACGAAGAACTCGGCGGGGGGTTGGCGGAGGTGGTGGACGGTGGTGGGGAGACTCGTTGATCGCGCTGCGCGAAGTACTAAGCGAGACGTGCGTTTTCTCTTTCGGCAGGCGAAAACTCCTTCGAAGACGTTTGTAGCCCGCCAGACTGTTGGGTTGGTTCGCAAAATGCTGAGACCTTGGATACTCGCTTTCTTTCTTCGATTGAGGTTTTTAAGAGGAGGTCACTTTCGGCAGGCGAAAACTGCTTCGAAGACGTTTGTAGCCCGCCAGACTGTTGGGTTGGTTCGCGAAATGCTGAACCTTGGATACTCGTTTCATTTCTTCGATTGAGGTTTTTAAGAGGAGGTCACTTTCGGCAGGCGAAAACTGCTTCGAAAACATTTGCAGTCCGCCAGACTGTCGGGTTGATTGACAAAAAGCGGCTTCGAAGCGACATTCAACCCTTCCAGTTGCTACGCGATTCCCTGCTCAGTCCGGTGCATCGTGGATTTCTCGATAACCTAAGCGTGGGTAGTAATTCCTCCTAAGAGCAACAAGGGGTACCCGTCCGCCGTCCATATCATTTTTATTTATCTCCAAAAAACTTGACCCCTGACTTGCTTCCGTTTTTGGAGATGTGTTGATGGCGCTGTAGCCCTCACGTGAGGAAAGAAACAGACTTCTTGAACGACAAAATAGCATCAGAGGCCATGCGAAGACATAGAAGAT